ATGGTATCAGGCTTGAAGTTCAATCTCTTGTGCTCTGCATCAGCTCCAATGGCAAGGGAGGCTCCTTGCCGGTGGCTCCCCTTGATCTGGAGACCTCTGAACCTAGCTGTCTCCCAGATGCCCAGCTTACATTGGTGAAACACAAATAGATAACTGCGACAGTCTTTCCTCTTTACAAAGACAGGAAACAGAAGGCACGTGGCAGTTGTTGGTACATAGCAATTCTGAATCCAGCCATGCCAGTTGCCCTGATTATTCCTTGATTGTGGTCCTAATCTATTGTTCTCAGTTTCTCTGCCCTACTGACTCATGGTTCTGTTCTCTGAGTCACTCATCCTTATCAATAAGAAATGATTTGTGGTTGCAGCTGCATAGCTTTCTTAGCCTGCTTCTTGCCTATGGAAAGTGAGAGGCTCAAAGATTATTTCAGACTTTCTTGGTTCCTTTTATTTCAAGCTGGCCAGAATAGTCTTCTTGACCATTTTATGGGCTTTCTAAGTATCTAATTATAATCTATTCTATTGGACAAAACTATATCCACAAATTTCTTTGAGAGAGGCCCCTCTCTACCTCTGTTCTGGGACAAAAATCTTAAAGATTCTCAGAAAGTTTTATTTTCTAAAGGGAGGGTCTCTGAGGTACCACCTAAACCTTCAAAGACCTTAGCAAAGTAATAAGGCCATTTATTACTTTGAGACTTTTTGCTGGCTGAAGATACTGTACCCAATGTTTTTTATTTCCACTAAATTCTACTCGAAAATTAAATAGATCTTTCAGGTAATTTCATATCTCTCTTACTGCATCAGATGCAGCCTAAGAAGCCAATCAGCATATTCTGTATCCTGCTTGGAATTTCTTTAGCCGTGTGTACATATACCCTGGTACGTTTTTTATTGTCTGTATTAATGCAGGCAATGGTGTTACTAAACATTCCAGTGCTACAGAACACAGGTTACCCTTTTTCTAGCCTTTCACAGCAACTTCACTGCTCTTCTAGTCTCCAGTAACAGTCTCCTCAGCACCCTTTCAATTCCCACTTGCTGCCCGTTTCCAAAGTCAATGCCATGAGTTTTAAGTCATGCTATGGCATAACTCTATTCTACTTCCAGGAACCAATTTTTGCATCAGTTATTATTGCTGAATAACAGACCCCCCAAAGATTTAGTGGCTTAAAGCAAGAATCATTTATTTCTCATGATTCTGAGGGCCAGCTGGGCTTAACTGGATAGTAGTTCTACTTCATGCATTGCTCACTGGAAGCTTCCTTGTCAACTGTCCATATATACAAGTCTGTTTCTGGACTCATTGATCCATTCTGTTGGTTTATTTGTCTATTCTTGTGCCAATAGCTCATGCTCTTATTTACACTACTTTTATAATAAGTGCTGATATCATATAAAGTAAGTTTTACCACTTTATCCTTTTTGAAGTTATCTTTGCTATTCTGGATGCTTTGCATTTCCATATAACCTCGGTTTGTCAAACACAAACTGAAGTTATATTGAGTAATGGATTAGTTGAGTAGAACCAACATCTATGTAGATGTGTATTCTTTTTTATTGAAATATTTAAATTATTTTTGATAAAATTTTTAGTATTCTATGTGGAATACTTGTTCCTATTTGATTTAAATTGGATTAAATTTTTTTTTATTAATGATACATTGTTGTTTAATAAAGGTTTCTTGTTAGTATACAGAAATACAGATTTTAAAACGTTGCCCTTGTGGGCAGCAAGCTTGTTGAGTTTATGCATTAAATTTGTAGACTCTAGTATTTTCCACATGCAATTATGACATTAATTTTTTCCTCTTCAATTATTTTACATTTTATTTTATTGCTTTATTACTTTGGACAGAATAATGTTGAATAAAGAAGATAGTAACTATGAGAGGGAAAGTTTCAACATTTCCCTATTGAATTTAATGTTTGCTATGTCTTTATTTAGATAAGGAAGTTCCCTTCAAGTCCTAGCTTGCTAAGATTTTTTGTTGCTATGAAAGGGTGTTGAAGCTGATCAAATGCACTTTTTTGTATCTACTGAGATTGTCATATCACTTTTCTCCTTTGTTTTGTTAATAAGTATATTGATTTTGTAATATCAAACAAAATATACATTCTAAGAATAAATCCAGCTTGGTGGTGATATAGTATCTTTTTTATATATTGCTGTGTTCTAATATTTTGATCAGAATTTTTACATCTATGTTTATGACAATAAACCTATAGCATTCTTTTCTTGTGAAGTCCATGTTGGGTTTTGATATCAAGGATTTTCAGACTTTATCAAAGGATTTGGGAATAATTTTTACTTTTTCTGTTCTCTTGATGATTTTGTGCAAGTTTACTGTTATTTCTTCCTTAAATGTTTGGCGGATACAAATATTGGTTCCAGGAGTACTGTGCTACATTAATAACAGCAACAAACTTCAAATTATGTGGCATTAACATCCAGTCTGGCAGCATGAAATTGTTATTGGACACTTGGAAAGATGGCAATTCATGTTATGCACTGGAAAGGATTTTGTAAAACTATAGTCTTGAATAAAGTAAAGGGCATATGATATACCTAATGAGCTTTTACTTTATGCAAAGAAGTAAAAATTTATGTTATTAGAATGAGTTCATTACTAATTACTGCATTTTCCAAGGTACTACAAGAAATAGAGAAGCTCAGAAAAGTTTTGGCTGGTTTGCAAGGAGAAATATAAAGGAATTCAAAGACAGCCAAAAAACTCAGGTACTAGCAAAATTGGAAGGTGCAATTGATTCACATCTTCAACTGGTAAAGAATCAATTGAGAAGGCCTTTCAGTAACAAATGATATATAGAACTTTGTCTAATAGCAAAGACCAAGTTAAGGGTATGGCTATCACATTATCATTAGGATCTCAGAATGGAACAAAACAGTACTCAGAAAATATTTTCAGTTGAGAAAATATGTCAAGGAAGAGAGACGTGGGTTTGGCTTTATATAAGGAAGACTTACAGGCCCTAAATAGTTGCAATTAGAGAGAGAGAGAGGAGAGGAGAGGAGAGGAGAGAAGAGAGGTGGGAAGAGAGGAAGGGGAGGAGGAGGAGGAGGAGAGAGAGGAGGAGAAGGAGAGGAGAGGAGAGGGAGAGACAGAGACAATGAGGTGAGGTCTCTAAACCATTGTAACATACAGCACTGCCTAGAATCAGACAAATAACTTGAAATAGATTTTGAAAGTGGTACAGTCAAAAGAATCACTGAATTGCAATGGATTAACTCTTTCATATGTCGTTCTCCTTTACAAATGGGAATATTTATTGAAGTTATCCTTTCCCTGTTCTACCATTTTATATATTGTATATAGAAGCTAGGGCCAGATAACTTAGCTTTTTAGTTTAGAGATCTCTAGATCATAAAGACCTATATCTAGATTTGTAGAGGCTGTTATGAATCATTCATATCTCCTGGGATCTAAGCTAAAACTATTGATAAGATAAAACTTTGGATTGTGTCCCTCAAGAAATGAATAAATGTGTTCTGCTGTGAGAAAAGAGGTAACCTAAAGGGTGAACTCTGATAGATTGTATTACTGTTCATGCTCTTGTCTAATTGTCTGCCCTTGAGTGTGGACTGAAGCTAGTGACTTGCCTTTAACTAATAGAATAGCGCAAACATGATGCAATATCACTTCTGAAGTTAGGTAACAAAGAGACTGTGGTTTTTCTCTTGTGTGCCCTCTTGCTTTTTTATTTGCTCACTCTGATGGAAGCCAGTTGCCATATGAACTGTCCTCAGGAGAGGCCCGTATGGCAAGAAAGACAAGGGTGGCCTCCAGCCAACAGCCAATGAGAATAGAGGCCTTCAGTTCAGTGGCCCATGACAACTGAATCCTGCCAACAACCACACAAAGGAACTTCGAATCCTTCAGATGAGACTGGATCCCTGGCCAACATCTTGACTTCAGGCTTATGAGAGACCTTGAAGCAGAGGTACCTATTATGGACTTAACTGTATCCCCCAAAATTCATATGTTGCAAGCCGTAACCCGCAACGGGACTATATTTGGAGACAGAACCTGTAAAGAGATAATGAGGTTGTTAGGGTGGGGCTTAATCCAAGAGGACTAGTGTCCTCATAAGGGGAAGAGGAGACACCAAATCTCTCCATCCTCCTCCCCTCCCCTCTCATGTCTCCCTGTGTGTGTGTGTGCGCATGTGCACATGCTCACATACACATAAGGAAGGTACACAGAAAGAGAGGTCTCACTAGAAGCCATCCCTGACAATCCCTAATCTTGGACTTATAGCTTCCAGAACCATGAGAAAATAAATTTATGGTGTTCACACCACCCAGTCTGTGGTATTTTGTTGTGGCAGCTCTTGTAGACTAATACAGTACTTCGCCAAGCTGTGCCTAGATTTCTCACCCACAGAAACTTTGAGGTAATAGGGTTTATTGTTTTTAGCTGTTAAATTTTGGGATAATTTGTTATGCAGCAATGGATAACTAATACATTAGCCCAATTTTTTTTCCTCCACATCCTCTTTGACTTGTGTCCTCAAAAGATAGGCAGGCGGAGTGCCCTCTTTGAGCTCCTCCGATTCTTGCTTTCCAGGGAAAGAAAAAGTCAGGATTCCTGGTTGATAAACATTCCAATTTCTAGTCATTTTCCCAGCAAAGTGAAAAACAACTCTGGTTTAGATTCACATTTGGGTGTAAGTAGATGAGGACAGAATAAATTTTAATGACTTGGAAAGCGTGAACTCCCTATCTTTATTTGTATGGATTATTTTCCATGGAGATATATATATATACACATGAATGAATTGTATATATGTGTATATATGTATATATATGAATGAATTGCTGTAATTATATGTATATAAATATATGTATTTAAATGAATTGCTATAATTATATAATTCCTATAAGGACAACATCAAGATGCTGGATGTTTC